CAGCAATTATCAACTCCTGAAAATATTGTGAAAAAAAATGGAGTATTTTATTAAAAACATTATTTATCTTAGTTATTAAAAGTTCTTAATTAAGAAAAATTTATGAAAAGTGGTTAGGTTGTCTAACTAATCAATTTTTAATAGTAAGTTCAAATATGCTTGACTATCTATATATAAAGACAACATCATAAGAATAAGCAGCAATCTTTTCGGCAAGTACATTTCCAATCTTTTCCCATTTATTTAGACCTTTGCTCCATCTCATTACTTAGTAGAGTGAATCATTTTGCTAACCACAACTCAAGGCAAATAGACCCCCACTATTATTCTATCCAGCGCTAATTTGTTAAACACATAGCTAATTGAAGCTTTCTAATATACCATTTTATTTTACAAGGACTGGTTTATCTTAGTAAATTTCAATATTTTTATAAAGCTATTTGGAATAGAATTTTGCAATAGAACCGAATCGCTTGTATTAATCATTACTTAAATCTTAGGTTGCAATTGCGTAGATAATTCCATTACTGTCGAGAGCTGCGTCTTACACTCCAGAGATACTATAAGTATTGCTGCTAATAAAACGTATATCGCAAACTTCATCATCAGAAAACATTACTCTTTTTCCTTCTGCATTGACTTTACTATTAGTTATAATTCCTTCCATTTAATAGTCAACTCAGGCTCTATTTAATGGATAATAAGCACTTGCTTAAAAATTAATAGCGTTCTACAGTGGAAACTTATAGGTAAGCTCAATGGTTAAATTTTTGTCGACATATATATCAATTAAGTTTTAGCCTGGAGCATTAATTTACTAAGAAACTCCTGCTGCAAGATTTTTAGTTTAAGCTCCAAGAAAGTCTTGTTAAACAGATTATCCAAATATTTATGCGAGGGCAAAAGCAATTAGAGTTACAATAGTAATTGCAAGAATGGTTAGCTTTCTAATCTATTAGCTTTGAGTTTGCTGGATAAGTGGTTCGTATAAAGCAGAATAATCGTTCCCTATCATACGCTCCAAATTCCTATAATGAAATTATCAATAACATTTAAAAATAAGCTAATTATGTAGAGTGCATTATTCCTTTTAGATAAATTTATATTTGCATTACAAAATTATGGAGCATTAATTATGAAACTTGGGGTTTTGGGGTTTTGGGGTTTTGGGG